GCGTCTTGTGGCTTAAAAATAAAAGCAGAAATAGTAATTGCGGGAGTTCTGCCTTCCCCTGCTGTGTTGGGGTTACTGCACCCTCCGCCCGCGGGCCCTGCCCTGGACCGAGGCAGCTGAGCTGAGGTGTAAGCACTCACCTTCTCCAGAATTCTCAGATCCAGCTACGATTTTCCCCCGCTGACCTTGATTCCTCCAGATGTCCGGTCTCAGCCCTGGCAGTGTCTCCGCACGCCGTGCTCCCAGTGTGCCCTCCCCGTTACAGGCTGCAAAAGGGTGCAAGGGGAGGGAGGTTTGTGTGCTAACTGAGTGGTGGATGGGGGGGAGCGGCGCCTTCAGACCCCCTGTTGTTTAGGCCCATTTTAGCTGAACAGTAAGTCAAAAAGCACGTTGTTCACTTTAGCTACTGCAGGGATTTGCTCGGTACAACTGCTATAGTTCAGAAATTAGGTGCAAAAGCATAGTTGTACCGAAAGTTCAGCTGATAAGCAACTAAACTTATTGTTAGTTGTTGTCCTCAATAACTACAGGAGGTGAAGGAAGCAGTACAAAGATTAGTGCAACCCATAGTGGCAGATTCCTCTAGTGTGACATGAATGCACATAACTAATGTAACTTAGTTAATAACTTGCAATTTAACTAAAATACACAGTTTTGACTCGTGAAAAACCATACCTGCGTGTACCCCCTAGGCCTCCGAACGGCTGCGAGGTCCTGTCACAGATGGCTGTGCACCCCAGGGGTAGGGCAGGGAGTTTCTGGAAGAGCATGCATGGAGTCACAGGACTGACTTAAGCAAAGTTTCAAGTACACTTTTATTTTCCTTCATATGCAGCAATACAGCTAATTCTCAAAAGAAATTCACAGTGTGAACTCTCTCTCTGTATGGCTGGTATGCGTTATGTAGAGTAATATGTTCTGTTTGTCCCTTTGCTCGTTCCTCAGTTCCCCAAGGTGGTGAGCCATGGCAGCAGCTGCGGTCAGTCTTTCTCCTTATTTTAGCCATTTTTCTTCACCAGTGAAGCACTGCAGGCTGGCTGTAGCTCTTTCTGCAGGTTCTCATTTACTTCAGCAATCAATTCGGAAAGTTGGTTTTTTGGTGCGAAATAAAGAGGCAACAATCTTAACTCCAGTGTGTTCCAGTGATTTGGCTGTAATTGTTTACTGCATTTTAATTTCTCAAGTACAGCTACTGATACGTTACAGTTTAGTTTTTAAACCTAAAAGTAACTGCCTGTTCATTGTATTGGGGCCAGTAACTATTGTGGAGATTAGAATCATCCAGGTAGTGGTACCATGACTGAGTATGTGCAGTTTGTGCAAGTCAGCGTTGTGTTTCTTTAAAAAAATGCAAAACCGAAAGGCCATCGAATCTTAAGGAAAGAAAGATCAAACTTAAACTAACAATTAAAGAAAGCAAAACTTTGAGGAAGATGTGATGATTCTGGGCTTCTGGTCTGGTTTTAATGTAGTGGTCCACGGAATCAGCAAATGCAAACTTCTCTGGGCTGTACCCCAGCTGACTCCGTGCCTTGTCTATTCGAAATGTGTGAGTTATAGAAATGTTCTGTACCTATAGGACAAAAGAGTCAACATACAAAAATATGAATACATAAAAAATTGGAACAAAGTCTGTAAATGGTAGCAAAGACACAGTTAAAGGAAATGTAAAATAAAAAATACCCCACAACACTATATCAATGTCCTATCAACATATGTCACTTTATTTTTAAAATTGTTCACTCAAAAATCAAATCTTGAAAGCCCAAAGAGGCAGTAAAAGCTGCATAGCAGAATCTTCTAGTCTTGAAAACATCCACAGAAATGTTCTGTACTCTTGTTTATGTGCCTAAGGAGGCAGATAAAAGCCATCTCTTAGGTGCCTAAATATCGTCAGAAATTAGTGCCCAACTGACCAGCCAAAGCCATACAGGATGCTGGGCCTCGGAAGGAAGGAGCTGAAGCAGCCTCTCCCAGATTGCAAGCACAAGCTCTTGTCTTTTCAAAGATTATGGTAATGAGCGTAATATATTGCCTAGAATGTACAACACATACATTTGCCCTGGAAACTGGAGGCTGAAGTAGTACTGGATGGATTTTACTTTCTAGTGAGTTAATCTTAAATTGTACCTCAATATTAACATGTATGTAAGCATCCTCTGAGAATTAAGGGGAGTTTACAACCAAAGCCTTTACCTCATTTCTGGTCAGCAGTGGGGACAGTTCAACAAATGGCTTCAGCATCAGATGAAGGTATTCCATTATCATGGCTGCATAACAAAAGATTTCTACTTGAGCTAAGAATAGTAAATTGCTATGCCATTATGATTTTGGCATCTTTCACACTGTATATGGCAGTGAAGGATAATCGCATGCCTAAGAGCTCAGGGCACCATTACTAACATCAACAGGACTACTTGCTCACAAGGGGTTGGATTTAATCTTATTACTTCAGTCAGCCTGAATTAGGGTGCTTGTGTGAAAAGGATTTGGAGGGTTGGTGACAGGTCTAGTGAAAAGATCATGAGACTTCATAAAAAAACGTGGTAACAACAAAATACTCAGTGGGATTCTGTCTTAGCTGCAGATGGGGTTTGATTCTGGAGAGAGCATGGGATACAGGAGAACAAGGAATTTACCCATGCAGCAAAGCAGATACTCTCTAGCATATTTCATGAAGTCACAGATTTTTACATTTAACTTTTTATATTTATACCATTAACTCCACAAAGTTATACATCTGTTAAGTTCTACATAAAACCTGTTTTTGTGGGACTTAAATAACAGATCATTCTGATTTCAACACACTGCATAGACCGGAACTTCACCCCTAACTGCTGCACACTAGATGAGCCCACAGCATGAAACTGAAAATTGTGGGCAAATTAAAAAAAAAACCACAAAACATTGTATTACAATTAGGAATGAGGGTAGTGGGGACAGGGAAGAGAAATGTTGATAAAATATTTTTACCTGATGCATAAACTAAGGAAGTAGGAATACGTATCCGTGGTTTACTGCAACCTAATCTTTCAAACTGAAAGAAATTTAAAAAACAGTGAAAAAAACCCAGAAACCTCAAACAAGTTTTAAAGTTTCAATACAGAAGATATTTGTGGAAATATTTACTGATAAAACAGAAAAATTCATCATTGCTGTTACTATTTGAGTTTTCATTTTTCAGGGAATTCCAGTTAAATGTCACATGCAGACACTCTGTAATTTTCAAGTGGCAGTCTTAAAAAAAGTAAAAAAAAAAGTTTATAATAATCAATCAAAATGTCATGGTGTGCTGATACAATTTAACATTGTGACATATTTATGGTTTTGAGCCATTTTATTATTAACAATAAAATGATCTTTTGAAAATAATGTATATTACAGATTAATAATTAGGATTTATATTTTTTGTCCACCTAAAATAGCCACCGTTAACAGCTGCATGCCCAAGAAATGAAGATAATGGCAACTCAAAAGAGGATACTGGTTTAGATGGTCTTCTGGTCTCAGTGAAGACAGTTGCTTTAATGTACTATTTTAGGTAGGCTTTGTTACAGCACTCATCACACTGAACTTCAAGCAGGAATTAAACCCACATTCAGAATGCAACTCTTACACCCAAAGCAAACATACCAAATATAACATGCACACAAAAGCTGGAGTTGTATACAGTCAAAGATATTAATGGATTTGGAGATAAAGTACATATTATACATACAAGTGGAGTTAACCATTCAAAAAGGTTGAATTTTTCGCCATCATTAATGAAATACACCTGGCCACTCTGTTAAAGAGGTAGAGAAGAGATGAGTTAGTAAAAATAATACTGCACATATGCTGATTTCTTTTTCTTTATCTCCTTATGAATAGCTTAAAAATAATACAGCAATATAAAATATGCATGAATGTACGTACAAGCCAACAAACTATCTACATGTGTTTCAATCAGTTGCACTAATGTGTGCAATGAAATCGGTGGACAAGTGGTTTATGTGATAAACGTGCCTTGGTATAATTTATTTATTACAGATGTGCCTACACAGAATGGCTATATTGACCATACAGAGATTACCAAGTGCACTGAAAGTGGTGTCACCTGGAAATAAAGCTCCTGAAACCAAAAATGGTTTTGAAAGGAGATACTGCTTTATTCTGCGCAGGGTGCAAGGTGGAAGAATTCCACAAATCAAGCACACCAAGTTCGGCTTCTATTCCCTTATTTATACATTGAATATACAATTTCCACACCTTTCTAATACATAATCATTAACCTCTCTTCGTGCGCTCATCTTCATTGGCTAACAGTTTACTCGCATAGTCTTTAAAGCTATAGTGTCTTTTTAATTCACTGCGCTTGCGCAGGAGGAGTTGGGGGGGGTACTTGCTTCAGTCCTTAATTGGGTCGGTGGTCGCGAGCTCCCCCTGCCCGAATTACCTCTTACCCACTTTCTCCTATTTTGTGCATGCCCGTTTGTTTTATCGTCCCCTTATCTTTGAAGGTCAGCAACCAGCCGCTTAGCCATCCTCCCTTCCTCCTTACATTTTATCAGTGTAGCAAAATATGCATTACTTCACTACTACTCAAGGACTGTATTTCATTAGTATAATAAGATCTACTACTTAAAGGCAACAAGGGTGCCATATCTGACTTGTGCTGTTAACACACATTGACCAAATGGTGGGACGTGTTCTGCTCTTGGTCTAGTTAAGACTCGTTGAAATCTGTAAGACTCCATCTGTGTATCCAAGGCGTAAATTACCTCTTTCCCTTTTGCTTTTAGGGTTTTAGAAAAAATAGTTTAATCTACTTTGAAAATCTCTCTAATATACTTTAAAGGTAGTGCTTCTAGGTCAAATAAAAAACTATGTTTACAAGGAGGAAAACAGTTGCAACTATTTTTTAAATGAATGCACCCAAATAAAATGTGCTTTTATTTGTATATGGTATGGGAAGAACCACGGTTCAGAACATTAAGTCTGGATCTATATACAGGGGAACAGGGGATAAATCTGCCTGAACTTCCTTTTTCTAACATAGCAAACATTCTTTGTTCATCTTTCAGAAATGGCAAATATTATATTACAAAAATGCAAAGATGGAGATATTCTTACAGAACTGAGTATTCCAACTCTTAACACACTGCACAGCCAATGCTGCCAGGTTCCACACTGTTCATAGCACATTTGTCAACTAGAAACGGAGACAACAACATAAGCTAAAGGACCGTAACACACACATTAATTACTGCTAGTACAGTAGTTAATGATAGTACAGGATACAGTGGCAGGATCCTCTGTCAAATGCAAAATGTGGTGCCTTTATTGTTTACTTACAGCTATGTAGTTCTTTTCAGGGGTGAGAGCGTCAGCAGCTAGAATTTGAGCTTGTACAAGGTTCTCTGCATGCACCCAGTTCATTTTAGCACAAGGATCCCCAAACTTGAAGCTGAGTAGCCCTCTCTCAATATTCTTCTGTAGACATAAACAAACATGAAATGAAAGCAAAATGGGTTTTAAAATGAAGTACAGTGCACTTTCTTGTCCAGCTAAATGTAGGTTTGTCTCTACTTAAAAAAAATATGCGAATCAAAAAGAATCAAGAGAAGTGCAGAGAGCTCTCAAAATACTGCTCATGAGGAAGGATTGAAGAACGTATTGAACACAGTAAGTCCTGAATTTAAAAAAAATGCAAGTCTATTCTAAGGATAAGTAAGATACTGTATGGAAAGGTAAGATACAGTTCTGAATGGATCAAAAGTATTCACAAAACAGGATTAAATTTAATAAATAGCTTTGGCTGGGAAAAAATGGAAAGTAATTCTAGGTGTTGCATTTTTCATTTAACAGGTACAATTTTAGAAACTGCAAGATGTGACAGTTGCACAAGCCCTTAAAATGGGCTCATAATAAATAAGCTTAAAATCTTAAATAGAAATTTAAAAAGACTATATTTTTTCAGGGGCATAAGAAAACATCCCAGGTTTAACTAAAATGACATTTGCTATTCTTCAAAATTATTTTATTTAGAAGATGATAAAGTATATTTTGGCTGACTTCAATATAACTCCCTACCTCAGCCACAAAACAAAAATATTTATTAAGTGGTAAGCTTGACTCTATTCTTTCCTCAAAGCTGTGCGTAACTTTATATTGTACTGATACTTTTAAAATAACTGACTCATATAATTCTACAGGGATCATAGTCTAAACACTGTACTAGTCCCACAATTTAAAAGACAGCAAGTGTAAAAGAGTAAAACACGAGCACCTCAGCTGTTTGCCCTTTAGTAACCTATTGTACCAGAAGGTGCTTCCGACTCCTTAACTTGTTTCATTGGATAGTGAAAGCTGTTAATAGTTGAGACTGGGAAGAAGATATTTTGCCGTATCTCTTTTCATTAATATTTTAAACCATTTGGTGTAAGTTGCATGCAAACAGACATTTGAAATATCATAGATTGGCCTGAATCTTATAATTATAGTAAGCATTAAATTATAAAGCTGGACTTACATGTGTTTGTATTTCAGAAAAAGGCTTTTTAAATGTACTATACATTTTTTACAGATACAATATAGTGACTGTTAACAAAACTTATAATATCCTCAATAGACAATTGAATCGTTGAATTGCAGCCCAATACGAAGTTCAGTCAATTTATAACACAAATAAGTGATGCTGTTGTATATCAGAAAATTCTGCTGATTAAAAAATTAAAATACATACTGCTAGCCTTGGTAAGTGTCTTTGCTCTTCTGGTCCATAGATTCCTGGTGGGCGAAGAACACACGTATAGAGTATTCCACCTCCTAGAAGAATTGATAAGACCATTCTTAAGTGACTTTCATGTGACTATGTTATATCTTTGTTTGTATGAATTAAAGACTATGGTAGCAGAACTTACTCTGAAATAAATTTAACTTCATCATCTTAAAAAATAAAACACAGCAAAAGGTGTTGAATTAGTAGCTGAATATTAAGTTGGCAGAATCAGAACATGCAAAATAGCAAGAAAAGATTCAGAGAAGTCCTGGCAGCATAGTCAGATTCCTAGAAATCACCAGGTATTTCAAAACCTCTTTCTAACCAGTCCTTTGTGCCAAAGCAGTGAATCAATGTGCCAGCTGTGGTGATGTTTGCTGAAGTGAGCAAGTTATTGGTAAGAAAGTGGAATGAAACCAGCTAATCTCATACAAAATTATTGATGGGAAACAGTGACTCACTAGCGGTACAAGATAGAGCTGAAAGGTTCTTAACAGTAGGCACAGCCAGCTCCCACCAGAACTGCTGTAGAAGCTCTTGATAACTTCAGTGGGAGAAAGTGAGGACCATCATAAAAATCCAATCACTTCCCAAGTATATCAGTTGGCTGGTTCATCATCTGCTAATAACTGTTCTTAATAGTACTTGAAAACATGCAAAATACTCAATCCTGCTATGGCACAGGATGAAAATGGGATGTTTGGAACAATGTCATTCTAGTTTCATTTAGAAATGCAGAACTGTGTATTGCGCCTAAAATGAAGAGGGTCTTTGATGTGAAGAGCTGCTGAGAAAAGAGGAAATAAGGAAAAAAGCCTTTTTTAAAAAACTAATTCTATCGGAATGGAATGCCCATCAATGACTTTACATCTCTTTATAGCCCTCTGCAAGTATCAAGTGAAGAGATTCTTTTCTGTAAGTTGTCTACAGCTAAATTTAGCTCGGTATCACTTGGTCACATAGAATCCTGTTGCACTTTACATGAATTTGTTTTGCACTGGCAGCTATAGTATCTCACAGGCAAGCTTAAGTATGCAAGCGTATAACTGGCTTCCTCAACATGGAAAACTTTGGGAAACACTAATAAATAATTCCAGGCTGTAGTATCAGGTGGCTTCTTCAGATTTTAATATATAACTCGGGGTGGGGGGGTAACAATTTAATCAGCATTCATGTTTTACCTTTGCTGCATAATACAGTGACATTAAACACTTGCTTTTGGTTAATTTATAGCTGTCTTCATCTTTGCAATTAACATACTGAATTAATTGCTACCATGCTAAAACCTTTTATGGACACTGTAGAAACTTAAGAACAATTAAAAGTGATTTTTAAGGGAAAATCTTTTAGTTTGTGCAAAGGGGTAGATAACTTGATTTCATAATTGCTGGACAATCTTGTCCACTGAGGACTGATACAGGATACAGGATGTTAGTGAGGAACAAGAAGAGTAGGAGTAAATTCCACTCTGAATTCATGCTAAGATAAGAGTACCTGCTAGTGGAGTTCCATTAGCTGCTAGTACCATTTGTTCTGCAATTGATTTGGTTCTGGAATAATGATCAACATGCTACAGAGAAAAAGCAAATATGTTTTTATCTATTCTTGAAATGACAGAGCAGAGGGGCATCTCTTCTCCACTGGTTTTCACTTAGCAGATGGCAACAAATACCTCAAAATACAGAAGCCATGGGGTATATTAGTTTTATGATAAAACACATGCATATTGCTAAGGTAGGCAAGCATTTGTGTTTATGCAAATCCAGTTAATTAATTTCAGCACATTTGAGAAGCAATAAATATATGTATGCTTTGAATGCTGCCAAGAATGTAATCGATCACTACTTTGTCATCTGGATTTCTTTTTCAGGTAACGGAAAAGTCGAAAGCCAAGTTTTGAAGACATTACAGTTGGTCTGAATTACCCTGTTCACTTTCTTGTAGCACTGCCCCAGAGAAAATATTATTTGATATATTATTCAAAATACTATTAAATATTTTCTCTGTCCATCTCTACTTCTTGAAAGACTGTGAAGTACTTGATGGAGAGAGGAGGGACACAAAAAACAACTGTGTATGTGAAGCACTGAGAGGTACTTTTTCCTTTTTCATTAGATGCAATAAAACCATCTAAAAATAGGCTGCTTTTCCGTATCAGCTCTACATTGAATATATGTCATCTTCAATAAGGGAGAAACAGAAAAATCATATAAATAATAAATGGCTAAGGAAGCACCAAGCCATATAACACAATCCGTATGCCAGGTGGAATTTCATTAATGTTAACGGGACACTGTATGAGTTATTTCCCAGAATCAAGACCTTGATAGGAAACAAAGACATATATACTGCCATGTACATAAAACTGATGTGTCAAGGTTGCGAATAGCATCTACAAAGAGTGTAAAGAGTTTTCTTTCTTGTACCTGGATTCTGGCATCAGGCAAAACATGGTCATGAAAACACCAGGCTTTTTCAGAAACAAGAAATTAAACAAAGCGGAAACTTCAAAACATAATACAACCAACATACCTTTTCAATTGGAAAATATGGCACAGTTTCCTCATCACCGTCTTCAATAGGAAGCCCTCCAAACACCACATTTACTGTACTGGTGTATATCAATCTAGCGATGTTCCTTTGTTTGCAGGCTGCGGCAATGTATAAAGTAAATCAGTTTAGTGGAAACTCAAACAATATGGGAAAAAAGTTTGTATGACCTTTTTCTGAGAAACTGTCAAACCTTGAAAGGGCAAATCCTTCCATTTTATGATTGGGTGATTTAAAATGCAAAGCACGTTTAAAGTGAAGACATCAGCGTAGAACCAAGTGCTTTATCATCTGGCACATCCTCATTTGGATGCTGCAAGCTAACACTATGCCCCTGGGAGGGCTGCTGCCAGCCTGCTGAGATGGGCTTCAGCTCTAGCCAGGCAGGTGGCCAGAAGTCCATCTGCTTCAAGGGCTGCCCACTACCTGTGCACAAGCTATTAGATAGCAATGGGACTTACTGCTACAAAAACCACGTGGAAATAGTTAACTCCTTACATGGATGCGGATTCTGACATCAGGGCAAACATGGTTACGAAAAGCTGAAGTGGTTGAACTACAGTGCTGGCTCTCATATCATACCCCATAGCAGAATCGAGCATAAAAACCCCCAATGACATGTTTCCTCATCATCTGCCAAAATGTGAAGTATTTGGTAAAAAACAGTGTGTGCCAAAAAAGCCAACTGGCTTTTTTTAAGTGGTATAATATTTTGATATGTTATACCAACACCCAATGGCAAGGTTAGACACATACCATCAATGATGAATCTTGTTCCCTGAATGTTTACAGTTTCAATCTCTTCTCTGTGCAACTAGGAAAATAAAGAAATTGTGCATTTTTGAATAATAATACAGTTTAAGTTCAATAGGGGTATATTATAAATGTCCCCAAATAAAGATAGTGGGTTTAGTGCTTTGATTATAAAAAAGATCATGTAGACTGCTGTTTCAGACTTCCAGTGCTGTTTCAGGCTTCCAGAAGTCAAATCATTATTTTTAAACTATGCCTGTATTTTTCTTGTATTTTTACAGACTAGCCTGCTTGAAGCAAAGAGAATCGCAGCACTTCGGAACACACATTTCCAGTTATTATACATCTTGCAGCAAAATATTAAATACCCATGTTTCGGTAGCACTTCAGTGACCAGTTGCCTCTACCCAGAGCAATTCCAAGTATGCATTGCTCAATTGCAAACATCTTTGAATGAGCTGTTCTATCCAGCGAAGGTAATTACTGAATTTCCTTTTATTAAATAGGGTCAGAAAGGGGGTGTGTATGTTTGTAACTCTAATCACAAAAATTGTGCTGAGTCCTACATCAAGTACATCCTTACAGCTTTTTACACAATGGCAAACAAAATTAAGACTTGAAATACAGCCATTGTTATAATTTAATTATATAAAATAATTTATTGTTTAGTTCAGGTTTTATTCCTCCCAATGACCTTACACCTAGAAGTTCCATGTAAAAAGTTTAGGGAAGGAACAGGGTTTTGGAGGGAACCTGCCTCCCTTGTCTTTCCTTTTGTCCTCGCACGAGTTCAGAGCTCTTCAATGCCATTTCCAGCTCAAAAGCCCTCCCAGGGTGCTGGTGGAGCCTCTAATGGGGCGGAAATAATTTCACAACTAGGAAAACAGTACTGCAGGCAGACTGCTTGCTGCTAGCACACCAGTTTGCACAGAGCAATTTACCAAAACAGCATGGACGTGGATTCAGGCTCTCAGGATAATTTGAAGATAAAATCTAACATGCAGTGTGTTACAGCATCAAGTCTCTTGTCCTCAGTGTGGGCAATCACAGAGAAAAATACCAAACTATTTGGACTCACTTGCTCTCTTCCTGACATTCCATATGAAGCTACATGAAACACACAGTCAGCCCCTTCACAGGCTGCAAATATGGCATCATAATCCCTGACATCTGCCTGTAATACATAAGAAAAGATATTTGGGCTTGAAATCAAAGCTGCAGGTTAGCATTTGTCATATAGTGAGTTAGCACAGAGGGAATGTATATATATAATTGTACTTACTGTACATCCTGGGACTGAAAACTAGGCCCATTTCAGTACTTGCTGATAATCATACTTTTCTTCCATAGAACTCAGAGGACTTCAAAAACATTCATTAAGCCTCATAATACCCCTATGTTCATTCTACAGGTGATTAAACTAAGGCACAGATACTGGGTCCTGAGGAGCACTTCAGAGTCAGGCGGTGAAGCGACTGCTATGCTTTACAGGTTTCATTGTTTTCCTTGTTTCAGATATACTAAAATCAGTTGACAAAAAAATCATGCAGGATATTCACACAGTTAAAACGGTTATTGAAATTTGCAGTAATTTGCAATTAGGTATTAGGATTCTGTGAAAACTAGGAAGACATTATGGAAAGGGCAAATGAACTAACTTTGACAGTTGTGAAAATATAATTTATCATACCTGGATACACACTATTCCATTGGGAATTTCCCAGATAGGCTTGTGTATGTCATACAGAACAACAGAAGCTCCTGCTTTGGCAAGAGCACATCCCAGCTTGTATCCAAAATAGCCTCCGCCTCCTGTCACCACGGCTCTCATACTTCTTCCATTCAGTGCTCCAGCATTTCCGTTCACTTTGGAGTTGGGGGTTTGGCGCCAGGGTGTTGCTACCCCACTCAGTGTAAGTTTTCTGTCAGTGAAATACTGTCTTCTATTACCAGACACATGTAACAATTTTTCCTCCATGTTGAAAATTGCTCCATAGCGCTCCTGGATGCAGATGATTCCAGTGAGTTTCATGTTAACAAGCTCTATTCACAGCAGCAAAGTTTTACTTTAATGCAACCTGTTTAAGAGACATAAAGACAAAAGCAAAACACTAGCTACAAAATTTCCAGATTTCAAAGATTTCTTTTAAAAGACCCATTTAAATTTTCTGCTTAGGTTGTTTAAGAGTTTGTTTGATCGTAATGTTCACATTTTACAAACACTTAAAATGGCTGTGTACTATATTAAATACAGCATCCTGAAAACACATAACAAAGGTTGCATGTTTTGGACTAAATATTTATTTGGAAATGGTATCCAGAATTATAAAAGAAAAACTAAAAAAAAAAAATTTCCCTAATGCAGAGAACATGAATTCAGATGTTTTCCACAAGTGGGTCAGAATTAGAATTATGGTACAGACCATAACTTTTTGTTAGCAGAAGAGAAATTGCTGCCTATGCCATGCATCTCCTCATCTTAGTTCAGTTTGTTCTGGTCTGCGTCACAAGCTCAGATGTAATATAGGGCCATAGCTGAATTTGAAATCTTGAACTGTTAGGAAAAACCTAAAGAACAACAAATTGCACTGAAGTTTCTGTGCTTAAAAAACAAGCGAGCAGGGCTAAGCGGAACAGCAGCAGACCAAAACGTCCCCTAGAGCAAAAGACATCTTTAATGCCTCTTCCACTGGTCCCAGGTTTATCACAAAGACAGCTGAGAAAAGCGATTTTTTCAACTCCTTTCTAAGTAGCGGCGGCTGAATATCCATTAGGAATAAATGGATTAAATAAATTGAATAAATGTGGTTTTGTCATTGGCAGTGATGGAGCTGAGATACATGAGGATTTCACAAGGGAAGAGGAATGCCCGATACTTGCATCTTAACAAGGCTATCAAACCCTCACTTTCCAGGGGAACTAGAATAAAATAACTGCGATGTGGCAGAAAGGGTCAGTGAGCGCATTAAGACAAAAGGAATAGCGAATCGTTTATTTCTTAAACGTGGAGGTGCTTTCCCACCCGTGCAACAACGGTCGAGGGTTCTGCCCTGA